TCCCACCCTCTACCCCCCAACCGGTAACCACAAGTCTGTATTCTCTGTCCATGAGTCTATTTCTGTCCTGTATTTATGCTTTGTTTTTGTTTGTTTTTGTTTTTTAGATTCCACATATGAGCGATCTCATATGGTATTTTTCTTCCTCTTTCTGGCTTACTTCACTTAGAATGACATTCTCTAGGATCATCCATGTTGCTGCAAATGGCATTATGTTGTCGGTTTTTATGGCTGAGTAGTAAAGACAGTCTTCATTTCTGTTACAGTGTTTTCGATCTCTAGTGTTTTGGTTCTTTCTTAGGATTTCCATCTGTCTGCTTTCATTACCTACCTGTTCTTGCATGCTTTCTACTTTATCCTTTACCCAAGAATCCTTTAGAGCCCTTAGCAATTAATCATAGTTGTTTTAAATTCCTGATCTGATAATTCCACAACATTGCCATATCTGATTCTGATGCTTGCTCTGCTTCTTCAAATTGTGCTTTTTGCCTTTTGGTATGCCGTGTAACTTTTTCTTATAGCGAGACATGTTGTACTGGGTAAAAGAAACTGGTGTACATAGACCTTTAGTAATGTAGTGGGGAGGTGTGGGGAAGTCCTGTGATTACTTCTCAGTCTTTTAGTGGACTTGCGCATCTGGACTGTGAACTGCACAAGTGTTTCGCAGTTTTCTCTCCCCTCTTAGGTGGGAAAGGATGGCTAACATAAGCTGGAGTTTCCCTTCTCCCATGTGTAGGCTAGACCTAATTGGGGTTGAATATCTCCTGCAACTCTGTTAAACACCAGTAAGTTAGTCTCTGATTGACTAGTTCCCTCCGAGTGCACGCCTTTGTTAAGATGAGTAGTGTGCTCTGGCTTATTTCAAATTGGTTCTTTTTTCAACCCCTCTGCTGGAAGTCCAAAGGGATTTTTCTCTGGCATTTACTCTGGAAACCTGGTTGAGTTCCTGGAGGTAAACCTCACAATACTTTGCAGGGCTCTGTTGATTGGGTCCCCCTGGAGTTTTTAACTGCCAGAGTTGTGTATACTGAATCTCCTGCAGTTTGTCAGTTCCAGTTCAGGTTTTCCTACCCCAGCACAGGCTCTTGAGGTGGTTTCTGCTTGTGTCTGTTCTGGTAAGATGTGACTCCTTGTTTTTGCCAGTTTCTCTATTCTTGGGGACCTCAGTTTGCCCTGGGTCCTCCACCTTGGATCATCTTAGCGATCCAAGAAGAGTTGTTGATTTTTCAGTCTGTTCAGCTTTTTGTCGTTGGAATGAAGTAGCTAAATGAATTCAGATTTTTCATCATGAATTCTTGCCCTATGTTCTGTGTCATGCTCGAAGGATATTCCTAATGTAAACATTTACTCTACATTTTTACTTTTAATAGTTTATTTTTTACATTTAAATAATTTGAAAGGCATGTCTTTGTAAGGTAAGACTTGAGGACTCAACTATATTAATTTTTCAAATATTTAGTGTTGGTTAATATATATTTTGTTCTTCCCATGTTCTTTCAGAACTTTTGAATTATAAACAAAGTTTTTTCAGGAGTTGATTATCTAATTTTGAGATGATTAGAAGCCTATTCTGTTGGTAACTATATCTTTAAACCTTAGAATAATTTTTAACCTTCTTCTGGTTTTCAGCCAATGCTTATCAATATTGCAGGTGAAGTAAAAATTTGGAATTCCCAATGAATTTTATGTATCCATTGGTGCCATTATGTTAAAAAATTGAGAATTGACTCTACTGCCATGTCCTTTTCCTCTCCATTCCTACTCCTCTGAAAGGAAGGGAACTTTTGACTTGCTAATTAAAATTAGTTTGAAAGTACTTTGAATGAAATTATTAAGATATGTGCCCTATCCTCAAAGACTATGGAGTAAATGATTATGCACGCACTTGGAAGGGAGAGCTTAATCATCAGTTCCGTTGGTGAGACAGGGGTTCTGCCATTATTAGCTTAGGTTGCTTGGTGTTATTTGGGAAATTTACTTTAGAAAATAGATATGTTTTCCTGTTTTCAGGTTTGGTCTGAGATTGGAAAAGGCTTTCTAGATGGATCACTTGATAAAAGTATAACTCGGAAGAAACAGTATGAAGATGGTAAGTTTTACCACTCTTAATTTTTGGTGAGAATAAAAGAAAATGTGCCCCGATTTTAATAGGGTTATCTCTGAATCATGAAATTATAGGCCATGTATATTTTCTTCCTTTATGTTTTTTCCTACATTTCCTATTATGGAAGTTTTTCTTAAACAAAAGAGGGGAAAAAGCAGTGAAGAAGTAAACAAACTCTAGTACTCACTGCAGAATGAGGGTGCTGTAGAGCTGGTATAGCCAAAACAATTAATGGAAAGTATAAGGGCACAATCCTGGGAAAGCAATTTAACAATACATGTTAAGTCATAAATAATGAATGAAATTATCTAAAATAAGAAAATATTCATGAATTTTTAAAAATATTCCAATTCCATTCTGAAATCTGTCTAAAATATCTGTCATGGATATTTTTGTAGTGCTATTTCTATAAGTAGAAAATCAGAAAAAAATAAATATACAACAGTATAGGAATTGCTGCAGAAATAATGTCAACATGATTAAATATTGTGTAAAAAATGTAGCGACATAAAAAATTCTTGGGGGAGGGTATAGCTTAGTGGTAGAGCACATGTTTAGCATGCATGAGGTCCTGGGTTCAATGTTCATTACCACCATTAAAATAAATAAATAAAAACCTACTTACCTATTCCCCCCCCAAAAAAAAATTTTAAAAAGATTTAATAAATATTCTTGGCAATATAATAGTGAGTAAAGAAATTTGAAAATTATTTAGCATTGGTTACGCATTTATAAAATCTATACAGAAAAATAGCGACTTTAGTTTAAGATGGCACCCCCCAAAGTTATTCTCCCTCCTTTTCCTTTGGTTCTGTATTTTTGGTCAGTGATTTAATGATTGTAATGCTTTAATACCTTTATCCTGAGCTGCTGTAATTCCAGTTTTGGAAGTAGGTAGGGTAAATTAACATACATAGGCTGCATTGGAATGATGGATTATTTTTTGTATATAGTAGTATTGCTTCCCAGGGTTCTCTTCCTTTGTTTTTTTCAACAGATGTTTATTGAGGCCTGTCCTATATGTGCTAAGCATTATTCTGTGTATATATAGAAGACAAAAATCCCTGTCCTTATGGGGCTTACCATTCTGGTGATTCCCTTAATGTCCAACATTAAGTCCAGAAAAGCCAATTTAATTGACACATTTTCTGCTATCTGGTTTTCATTACTGTTCTGACTATCTTGATGGAAGCATTTGGATTAATTCCCCTTAATAAAAAATGTATTTTATAGTATTGGTCTTAATATAAGATGAAAATTAATAATTTATATTCTTTGAAACTAAATAAAAGTAGATTGTCCAGTATGATATGCTCCTTGGGCTGTAACATGGGTATAGAGCAAATCTGAGCTTTTATTGAAAATGATTGTGTTTTGGTATTTATGTGAGTGGGAGCCCATGCCGGGGTTGCTGTTGCTTTTGTTTAAGTGAGTAAATCTCAACCTGGTCTGTACATTAGAATCACTTTGGGAACTTAAAACAAAAAATACTGAAGATCAGGCCCCAACCCTAGGCCAGCTTATTCAGAATCTGAGATAGAGGTGTCCTAGGTATCAGATATTTTTATAAAAGCTCTCCAGTTTATTCTGATACACTGCTGGGATTGCAAATGTACAGCAGTAGTTCCCAAACTTGGCTACACATTGACTCTTAAAAAAATTTTTGAAGCCTGGCTTCCACTCCTAAACATTTAGATTTAATTGATATGAGATATGGCTTGTATTTTATGATTTTTCTTAAAAGCTTCCTTTGATTCTAATGTGTAGCAAAGTTTGTGAACCACTGCGTTACAGTGTTAATAATTTCTCATTTTAATCACTAATATGTTATTATATTCATTCAATTCTGTAAATAGTGAAAACCTATAGTATCCTGGTATGTTTTTGGTTCTGGGGAGATGTCAATGAACAAAACAAACAAAAATTCCAGTCCTGTATTCTAGTGGGAAGAGGCTAAGTAAGTAAACTCAGTAGTGTGTTGAAAGATGAAAAGTTCTGTGGAAAAGAATAAATCAAGATGGGGGATAGAAGTGCTCGGGATGGGGAGGTTGCAGTCTTAAATAAGATTATTAGGAAAGGCTTCACTAAGATTAGGTAGGTGACTTGAGCAAACACTTGCAAGAGATAAGGAAACCAGTCAGTGCAGATCATGTGGGGTATCCACACGTCCAGGGAAAGAAAGAATATTCCATGCAGAGGAAAAGTAGTTGCAGAGTCCTTAAGGTGGGATTCTCCCTGGTATATCTGAGGTGCACCCGGGAGCTATGTGGCTGGAGTGAAATGAGTCAGAAGAGGAGTAGAAGGAGATGAGACCAGAAAGATTGGGGGATGGGATAGACTCTCTGGCTTATAGATCGCTGTATGACTAGGTTGCTACATGAGATAGGAAGCCAGTGAAAGATTTTGAGTAGAGTTATGGTCTGAATTATATTTTTTAAAGGGTCACTCTGGCTGCTTTGATATACTGTAGAGGCCCAGAGTGGAAGCAGGGAGACTAGTTAGGGGGCTATTGCAATAAACCAGGCAAGAAAAATCATGTGGCTTGGATTAGGTGGCTAGTAAAAGAAATATAAAATGAAAAAAAAAATAGAAGAGTAAGGGAGAATAATTCTGTATTTGAAGATAGAATGACCAACATTGGCTGCCAGATTAGATGTGGGGTACAAGAGAGAAGGAGACACCAAGGTTTTAGGCCTGAGTAATTGTAAAATGAAATTATTAGGACATAAGATGGGGCAGCCTGTGGAAAGATCTAATTTTGAGGAGAAAGATCACAACTTCAGTTTTGGATATGTTATGTTTAGTATGCTTCAGACATCCAAGTGCAGATGCTGAGTTGATTGTTAGACATATAAGTCTGGAGTTCAGAGGAAAGAGGTCCTAACTAGAAATATAAAGCTGGGAGTGTTCAGTACATAGACTGTATTTAAAGCCTTGAGAATGGTGACCACCAGGGTAATGAATGTGAATAGAAAAAGAGAAGTCCAAGGAAAGAAGTCCCTGACCTTGGGTATTCTGCCAGCAAGAAATTCGAGAGAGGAGAAGGGCTCAACAAAGGATACTGAGAATGAGCAGGCAGCAAAGTGGGAGGAAAGTGTGGAGTCCAGCAGAGTGTGGAATTCTGGGAGCCAAATGAAAAAGTGTTTCCTGCAGAGTGAGAGATCAGCGTCAAAAGCTGTGATAGGTCGAATAAGAGGGGGTCTCAGAAATGATCTTTGGATAATTCTCTTGACAGTTGGATATCAGTTAATAATCTTTCACGTTTCAGGAATGTACTTTTCTGATTGTTTCACATCTGTTTCTGTCTGATTTGGGAGAAGAATACAGTTAAGAGGACAGGACTAAGGAAGGTGGATGGTATTGGGGTGAGGGGCAGGGTGTATGTGTGTGGAGATCTCTAAGGTGTTAGCATCATTCTGCTTCTTGACCTGGTGTTGACATTATGAGTGTTTAGTTATTCCTTAAATTGTGCATATATGTTTTATGCACTTTGGGGAATATATGTTAATTTTAACAAAAAGAAGAGAAGTAATTTGATGAGTTTAAACAAATCAGCTTTTAAAAAATTGTTGGTTACTGCTCGTTTACCTTTGATAGTTTTGTTCTGCACATAGGAACATTGTACAGAAATACAAAAAGCATTCAATCCTCACAAATGCTTATATTCTAAAATCTTTTTTTGTTTTTCTTCTCTAAGCCCTTATGCAACTGGAATCTATTTTAAAGAAAATTATAAAAGAACGAAAAGGAAGGAACTTCAGTGAACGTATTTTCATTGACTCCTTAGTACAGGGGAATCTTAATGACCAACAGGTGACGTAATTTGTTAAACGTTTATCAAACAAAAGATAATCAGTCGTATATAGAGTGTGCTTTTATTCATTTACCCCAAATGCCCTCCTAGAATTCAAATGCCCTCCTTTCTTCTCTTTTGTTGTACATCATCCATAAACAGTGCAAGTGTTTAGTTTCCTGTTATTTAGCTCTTTGAAGCAGCTATATAATATTTAATATTTGTAAGCAGATATTGAACCAAAGTGTGTCTGATCATATAACAGGAGGACTTGTATAAGCCTTTACTGACTAAGCAGCTCTGCCTGCATGATCAGGTGGGCTCGGCTCCTTCCCAGTGTGTACCTGTTACCCCAGCACACTACTGGGGCGCTGTGTGTTTGCGGTGTTGTCAGGCAAAGGTCAGGAGTGGAGCCATTATTACCACACCTGTTCATTCTAGGAATCTTCTGCCGTGCTCTATGCATGTGAGTCCTCCTAGACAAAAGTGGTTTTCTTGGGGGGGGGGTGTGGGTAGAGAAATTGAATCAGGCTCCCGGACAGTTGCAGGCTCCTCTCCCCTGTTCCTGAGTCTTCATTGCTGCCCTCGGCTGAGCCAGAAGGATAGGACTGAGCCAGTTTGTTGGATGTATCATGAGCCCGTCAAGTTGCCTGATCAAAAAAAAAATGCTTCTGTATCAAAAAAGCAGTGTAGTATTTAGGTTGGTTTTTTACGTTACATGGATTTTCTTTAATGAAAGAGTCCTAAAGAAATAACATACTTTTTTTCCTTTCCTTAACCCCAGTTCTATACTCTAGAGTATTTTACTGGGGCCTTATACAGGCCACTTTACATTTCAGAGTTTCTAAACTTAGTTTTGTTTCCTAGATCCTAGAAGACAGTATGATATTTTCTCTGGCCAGTTGCATAATAACTGCTAAATGTAAGTATAAATTGATTTCTTCTTGAGATAGATTATAAAATGTACAAGGATAAAGCTATTCTAAAATCAAGAAAATATTTGTTGGCAAGACCTCTTTATAATTTCCCTTTCTTCTGTTTTATTCTTGTTTGAAAGGCTTGATTCACACAGGCACCTTTTTTTTTCTCACCCCAGGTGCTCTGTGACACCTCTGAACATTGCCATAAATTTCTTGACACACTTTATGGATTGTGAATTCTAGTTAGTGCCTTTAAAATGAACTGCTATTGACACCTTTGCAGTCAGAGCTGTGAGCTTTTCAGTTTCCTGCTGCGGCTTTTCATTTTGACTTCAATTCAGTCTGCTATTATTAAGGTTTGCCAGCAGAGGATATAGGCCACAGAAACCATCATTTAAAAGAACTCCTCTCTTGGTGGATTTGAAGGTGATTTTTGTTAAAATTCTAGAATGTGTGATAATATTTCTAAGTTTCCTTATTGGTTTTTAGTTTATCAGACTACCATTTATTCATACGGTATTTATAAAAATTTGTATATATCCATAAAAATATGCTAACATAAAATGGTAAAGAAAGTATTAAAACATCAGTTTAAAGTCTAAAACATGTTCACTTGAAGGATTTCATTCACAACTCTTTCTGTTTAAGGAAATTAAAAGCAGGTACAAATGTCAACGTCTCATAAATTTTTCTTTGCAAAAATCTTGACATCTAGAGATGTCCAAATATTATAGATTAAATGGAATTTAGGTAAGCATGTGTCAAAAACAATATATTGAACCTTTTTAAAGCATACTTGTTTAAAAAATTCATTACATTAAAATGTATCTTTGCTAAAAACCTTCAAAAAAATCTGATACCACAGTTGTGCTCTGGATACCACAAAAAGTTACCATTTCCAAGGTTGAGTTGATATTTTAATCTTTTTTTTGCAGTTTTTAGGGGGAATTTTCAGAGTGCTGCTATTTATTTTTGCATGTGGAATGGTTCGTTTTTAAGGCATCTCTGAAATTTTTGAGAGGCCAAATACGCAGGAAACCTTCGTTAAAGTCCCTCCTCTTTGACTAAGTAGCCTTGAGCAAGATAGTGACCTCTGCATTTTCTACTTTTCTAAAATAAGGGTTTAGCTCTAGGTGACCTGCAAGGTATCTTTCAACTTTAAAATGGTATCTTTGTTCAATATTGTAATTAAAGAATATTAAGTGGCTTAAAATCACATTTTAAAGCTATACCCCCAGTCATATTCTCTAATAGAGTTCTACAGAAGGACCATTGAGGTTATTAAGCTTATACAGTTACATTAATTTCAAGTGATAATATAGTCAAGCAGGGTGTATGAGTGCCTGCTGTATGCAAATCCCTGTGCTAAATCTTTCACTATTATATATTACTACATATTGTTGTAAAATTGCATACATGTACCTGTTGTACACTGCGTAAGCTTTCACGTCACTTGTGAAATAAAATTCTACAGTTCACTCAAAAGTCATAGTTAAGAAACATATGTAGGAAAAAGTTAAGGACAATTATTCATATGCCCTTTATAAACTCTGGGTGTGAGTAAACTATCAAAATAATTGAGTACCAAGTAGCTGTTGATTTTAATGATACAATAATATTTAGTGTAGAAAGTGAATTATGTCTTTTCCAGGCGTTGGAATTAGATAATATGTGAATTTGGCAAACATTAAAAAAAATTAACTTTGAGACAGATTTAAGCCAACCCTTTAGCTCAGGAAAGAGATAATTTAATAAGTAGAGGTAGATATTAAAAACATTTTTAAAGTACTTGACATAGAAATAGTATTAGACAGAGTCATTGCAAACATAATCTAGGGAAAGAGGTGCTATATGTCTAGATGACTCCATAATGAACAGTTGTAATCCCAGTGGATTCCTAAAGGAAATATAACTACTTTGTTCTGTTTTATGTTCAGCGTGTAGTTTTCTTAGCTTTTGATTTCTTCAGTGAATATAATCCATGAGCCATTTTAAGCAAAAGTAGGCCATAAGCTAGTGATCTTCCACTTTTTGTGTTCATCAAAATAATTGTGGTATTTGTTGGAAGTATAGATGTCTGGACCACACCCTAAACCTACTAAGCCAGGCTCTATGGGTGGTAGGGTTGTGCCATTGAACAACTCCCAGATTTTTGAGAAGCACTGTCCTAAGCAATAACTGGTCTCAGTTCTTGAACCAGTATATCTACCATTACAAGTAAAACTTTAGACTATTGGTTTATAGATAAATCTTCTGCTACTTTGATTTGTATGAATCATTTCATTAAGACTCCTGAGGGAACTGATAAGTCAGTTTTTTGATTTTACAAGTTTGAGTGAACCAGACAATCTATCACAGTTATCAACATTTAACTCTTTCCCGGATGTGAAGTTTATTTATTATCAATACTATTTTACTTAAGGTAAAATGCATTTGGTGGCCAGTTTTAACAAAGAAATCTTCAAAATTTCACTTTCTCCTTTTGGGAGTATTCTATAAATGTTCATGTTCTGTTCATGAAGTACAAAATCTGTGAACAATCTTGTTTTATTTTTTTGGTAGCATTTATATATCTTCTGTATCAGAAAAAAAAAAAGAAAATACCAGAACAAATAATAAGTTTTATTCTTATTTTGCACTCAACTATGAATTAGCTGCTTTCATTGTTTTTAATATAAATTTTCACCTAGTGTGCACCTGGGCAATCTGTTTTTTAACCACCTGTGAAGAAGTTCAGAAAAAACTGTATGAAGAGATAGACCAAGTTTTTGGAAAGGGTCCTATTACTCCAGAGAAAATTGAAGAGCTCAGGTAAGAACACAATAAAAGAAAGAGGAGATCATTAAAACGTAAATTTGAACTGGTCGATCTAATTTAAAAATAATTACAAAATGTCTGGGAAAGCTATATATTTTTATGGGATTTAAAATATTTACATACAGCTTTTGATAGATCATTTAATTTTAAAAATCATAAGATAGTTCTGGGAAACCTTGACATGAGTCTGTATGAAATCAGTTGTCAGTGATGTCTAGTAATTGGAACATTCATACTTTGTTGATGGGACTGCAAAATGGTACAGCCCTGTTGGAAAACAGTGTGGCAGGATCTTATAAAGTTAAATATAGCATCTGACCCAACAGTTATCCCAGGCATTTACCCAAAAGAAATGAAAATACATGTCCACACAGAGACCTGTATGTGAATGTTCATAGCAACCTTATTCATAATAGCAAAAAATAGGAGCATCTTTCAACTATAGAAAAGAAGATAGGGATACAGCCATTGGAAAGAACTTGAAGCTATGGGTTTCACAGGGAGACTTCTGTTACAAATACTTCAGATTTTTTGGAAACTTTATTTATTACGTTTTTAACTTTAAAAGTAATACATACTTGTCTTTTGAAGTTTTTGTAATACAGAAATGTATGAAGTGGAAGGTGAATGTCCTTTTTAAATGTACCCGTAAGAGAAAACAGTTGTTAACTATCTTTATTATTTTTCCAGACTTTTTCTTTGCATATATACATATGTATTTAAAACAAAAAATTTACAAACATTTTAAAATACAAAGTATATAACTCTCCTCTAAGTTCCGTTTTTTCTCTAAGTGTTTTTTTGGACAGTGTTCCTATATGTGGTAACTCCACCACATCCAATCAGTGATTATATTCTATTGGTGTTACTTTCCAGACAAAATTTAGTTGGAAGTTTAGTTTTAGTTCTTTCTGTTGCCCCCACTCTATGCAGAGCACCATCGACTTGTCTGGGATATTTCAACAGCCTTGGATCTTGCATCCCTCCAGTGCATTCTCCAGAGTGCTACTGGATGGAGCCTGTGACTATGTGTACAACCTGGGACCAATCCCAAACCAACAATCTCGGGGCATCAGAAATTTTCAGAAGCTGCTCATATGATTCTAATGTGTAGCCAAAGTTGAGAATCACTGTGCTAGTCATCTTTCTGTATCTGGGGAGACATATCTGATCAGATGACTCCAACAATTTAAAATCCTGCAGTGACTTCTGGTTGCCCTTAACATAAAATTTAAACTCACTTATTTAGCTTACGAGGCATTTCAGGAGCTAGGCCTTGCATTCCTCTCCCACTTTACCTCTTGTTACTTGTGCCTCTCCATACCCTTGGATTCAGCTATACTGAGATTCTTTTATTTCTTCAGATGTAAAGCACTCTCTCTTATCTTCTGACTTTTGAAGACTGTTCCTTTGTCTAGAGTGTTTCTTCCTCACTTCTCTAGACAACCCCGGGTTTTTCTGCAGGTCTCAGCCTAAGTGTTTATTTCTCTGCAGGGTCCTTTCTCTAGTTAGGTGCTCTTGCCATGTATTCCCTAACAGTTACTGTGCCTTTTTAATTGTTCATTCTTGATGTCCCTTCCTCTGCCATCTAGACCTTGAAATTCTTGAGGGTATCTGTCTTGTTTACTGTTGCAGCTCAGTATCTAATACAGTGCCTCTATTGTAGTAGGTACCCCCCCAAAATTTTTGTTCAAAGAGGAAAAAATGTTTCCTCTTTTATCTTTTTTAGAAATTATAAAAATCAACATTCCTATACTTATATCTTTGCTAATATTTCCAATTTTTTCTGTTAATAAGGTCCAAGAAATGAGGTTATTATTTAAGAATATATACAGTAGGTATTTACGATTAGGGGCTATGGAGTAACAGACTTAGGTTTGAATCCTCTCAATACTACTTAACCTGCTGTGTGATCTTAAACAATTGCCTCATTTTTTATACCTGTAAAATAAAAAAATAATACCATCCATGAGTTTCTTATAAGGATTAAATGAGATACTGCATAGAAGGTATTTAGCAGAACTGGCTCATAGCAAGATTTCAATTCATTTTAGCTTTTATTCTCATAGTGGTGCATACTTCTTATTTTCATATGTGTTGCCAAGTTACCTTTCAGAAAGGTTGTACCAATTTGTGTTTCTACCAACTGAATATGAATGTCATTTTCTCTATTTTTATTAGTATCTATGACAGTACTCTTGTTCATCTTTGCTAATCAGGCAGGTAAAAAATTTTTGCTTTGATTGGCAGTATTTCCACTGTTAATGAGATTGAAAATCACTTCTTATGTTTCGGGCTATTTGTGTTTTTTTTCTCTTTTTGTGTGTGGCTTGCTTTTTATATTTTCTGTTCATATTTCTGTTGGGGTATTTGATCATTTTAATTATGGATTTTTAAAGAGCTTTGATGCACTAAGGATATATTTACTGTAAATATTTTTCCTACTTGTAATTTTACTTATGATGATTGCAAGTATGTAAAAAAAATTTCTGTAGTCAGTTTATTTGTATTTTTCTTTATAGTATTCATCATTGTGTCAATATTTTTATAATTTTAAGTAGAAAAGTCTTTTATTAAAAGTTTTATTAACTCCTTTATTAAAAGTAAACTGCATTTCTACTCAAAAATTGTAAAAATACTGTTTGAGTTTTCTTCTGGTACTTTTAATGTTTTTTGTTTGTTTGTTTTAAATTTTTACTCACCTGAACTTTATATACCTCGAATATGTAAGGTAGTTTAAGCAAGTAAGAATTATGATGTGGCTAGTTCAATTTAGGAAGATTATGAAAATTGTTGAATGATACCTTAATGTATGTACACTTCCAACTGCGCCTCCCAGATAAAGATATTCAGAGAAATTTTTTTAAACAGATATTGTCGGCAAGTGCTTTGTGAAACTGTTCGGACTGCAAAACTGACCCCAGTTTCTGCCCGGCTTCAAGATATTGAAGGAAAGATTGACAAATTTATTATTCCTAGGGAGGTAGGAAACATTTGGTATACTTAACTCATTCAGTTATTCTTTTCAGTTTTTTTAGTGTGTATTTATAAGTCTTTATTGTTTAAAGTGTCTAGTAAATGCTACCTATTATTAAATCAAAACAATTATTTTACCTAGCAAAATGATATATGCTTGTTTTAAAGATCAAATAATATAAAAGAAAGTCTCACTTCTCCATAGGCACTATTGTTAATAGTTTAGTGTGTATTTTGCAGATTTTTTTCTGTGTGTATTACTCTGTGTGTGTGTATACACACACACATATATATGTATGTATTTTAAAAAACCAACTTTATATGTGAAAGGTTACTCTTCATATATTGTTCTTTAATTTTCTTTCGCTGAGTATATCATGGCTATTAATACAACTAGCACTTACTGCAGATCCAACTAGCTATTTTTAATGGATGCAAATTATTGCATTGTGTAAATGTACCATCATTTATTTAAGTAGTCCCCATTGATGGAAATTTAGACTGACGTTAATTTTTTCATTATTACAAATTACATACTTGTACAGGTATTGGGTAGAGCCTTAGAAATGGAGTTTTGGGGCCAAACTGTGTATGTGTGTAAAATTTAAATTGCCCTCTAAAAGGCAATTTATATTTTGAGCAACAGTATATGAGAACGCTTTTCCTTTCCATATTCTTACCACCTCTGGATTTATGAATCTTTCATATATATTGTGAATCTTATATGAAAAGTTGTCTCAAACCCTGATCATTGGAGAGACTGAACAGCTTTTCATACATATACTAACAGCTTGTATTTCTTTTGGGATATATCTTCTTTCTAGTGAGCTTGTCTTTTCGTTTATTATACATATTCTGTCAGTTATATGGGAAATATTTTTTTCTTGTCTGTTATTTATTTTTTACTGGTTTTATGGTGTGTCTTGTTTTGTTTTGTTTTTACTGGATACTAGTTTTAAATGTTCATATAGTTAAGTCTGTTAATCCTTTATGGCTTTGATATTTTGTGACATGCTTAGAGATGCCTTCTCACTATGAGATCACCAAAGTAATGGCCTGTGTTTTCTTATATTATTTTATTTTTTATTTTGTATTTATTATCTATATTAAAAGAGCTTTTAGGATGAGTTGGCTTTCTCGGAGTCATTTTATCTCTGTTAGGCCTTGAATAACTAGAGTAGTTTCTTTTTTTTTTTGCAGACCCTTGTCCTTTATGCCCTTGGAGTGGTACTTCAGGATCCCAGTACTTGGCCATCACCATACAAGTATGAAATTTCTGTCATTGTCTTTGTGGTTATTGATTTTTACGTGTTTGCATGTTTTGCATTCCTTTTCTAAGTTTTGAGGAGAAAATTCAATACGTAACAATGATGTAACAAAAGAAAGTGGCTGTCTTCCCTGTATGTCTTCTGCTCACTACTTTTTCTTTCATGAACCTGCTGTCTGCTACTCTTTGCCCCTTCATTACCAATTCTATCCTGAGCTCTATTTAATTACTTGATCTCTACAATTATCCTTTAATTCCAATAAAATTTTCAGTTCTTTTATTGGTAAGTAGGTATTGCTTGTGCAGTTTCTTAGTTTTCCTTCCATTGGTCTCAATTATTAAACTCTCTAGTTGAGGTCAGAAAGTAGGTGTTTGCGCCTGTTGTTACGTGGTGAGAATGAAGAACGATGGTCATATTGTTTGCCTCCTAGGTAAGCATCTCGTCAACTCTGCCTTAAAGGAATGGGTTAAGATTTACCACCCTGTAAGAAGGTTATATATTGAGTTGATTGGGGCTAAGACAGCTGTGTACAACTCCAGGGGCAGGATTTATGGCATGGTTGAAGTACTAGGAAACCTACTTCTGGAGCATAAGGGTGGGACATTTTATGGGTTTCTGTCAGTTTTTAATGGTTCAATGATATTAAAGGGAAGTCTATAAATAAATGAAATAGCAGTCCTTCAAAATTTGCTGTAAAAATTAAGTAAATTTTGTTTTCCAAGGGGCCTTTTTAAGCAAAATTAAGGATATACATTAGTTTAAAAAAAGTATGCTTATAGTTATAAAAAAATTAAAATTTCAAATTTTAAAATCTTAAAAAATTTTCATGTGGAAAAATGCCAAGTTTTTTGGTAAATTTTAGGTACCATATGAAAAGTATAAGAACTTTGCTGGAGATTTTGACATTATTCTTATCCTCAAAACACTCAGAGAATCTAGGTTACAAGTTGAAAATACTGAAAGGAATATATGCTAAGATGTGGAAATAATTTTTAGGAATCAAATGTAGTAAAATTTAGGAAATGTTAGTAATAATGTTGTATGCCAAGGAAAAGCTTTCTTAAGTTGGGACCTTATCACTTATCTCTTGTGAAAGGTCCAAAGGGTCACTTTTGTAAGCACCTTGAGGATGATCCTTGAGAGACTAATTCACACTAAAAAAAATGTTTGCAGGACTGAGATAGACCCTGTAGAGACAATTGATTAATTATAGTTTAAATATAATTGTCACACAGAGGAAGATGAAGAGGTTAACTTTTTTCACTGAACTTAATGCTCTTGAGGTCAACATAGCATGCTGCATATCTTTTTATGGCTGAGTAGTAGTCTATTGTACGGATGTACAGAGTTTGTTCAACTTGCGCCCACTGAAAGACATTTGGGTTGTTTCTAGTGTTTTGATATTATGAATAAAGCTGTTATAAACATTTATGTACAAGTTTTTGTGTGAACATAGGGTTTCATTTCTTTGCATAACTGCCCAAGAGTGTGACTGCTGGGTTATAGTGCATGTTTAATTTCACAGGAAACTGCCGGGCTATTTTTCGGAGATTTTCACTATCAGTGTTTGTGAGATTCAGCTTTTCTCTAGCCTCAGTGGGATTAATTATTGTCACCATTTTTTATTTTAGTTGTTTAATAGGTATGTGGTGATATTTCATTGTGGTTTTTGTAAGTTTTCTTTCAGAGTAACTAATATCACCTTATTCTCCTTGTAGAAGAATGTCTAGATATGATTTATTTACAAAAATAAGTGCATAGAAATGCATTATTACTGTTACTTTATTGGCAGTGTCTCAGAGGAAGAAACCCTGGGTCCAATTTCATAGCTTAAATGGTTAATAATGTAAATATTACTCTATACCAAAGGATGAAATATTATCAACAGAAAAACTATACTAAAGTAAGAATGGTGATAAACATCAAAACCTCAGTATGTACTGGGACCAAGATGATGACACAGAAGCTCCTGAATTCCCTCCTCACACAGATGCATTGACTGTACAGCTCACGTGGAGCGGTTCCCTCTGAGAAAAATCCAGAAACTAGCTGAGTGAGTCCTACACAGTGGGCAGATGAGAAAACACCTACATTTGAAACAGGCAGGAAAGGCTGAGACACACTCTTGCCATAAACCTCACCCTCAGCACAGTGCCATGCAATTGGTAAGGAACCCCCAGCTCCCCGCTTCTCTCTGAGAATCGAGGGATTTGGATCGCACATTTGATGCCCCAGCGTTAAAGACTCCCACCTGAGAGATGGGCTCCCAAAACATCTAGCTCTGAAAGCCATTGAGGCTATCATTTGTTAATGATACAAAATAATAAAAGATGTAAAATGTGACATCAGAAACAAAATGTTGAGGGGAAATGTGAAAATGTAGAGCTTTTGTATGCATTTGAAGTTGTTATCAGCTTAAAATAGACAGTTATAACTATAGTATGTTTTATGTAATACTCCTGATAACCACGAAGCAAAACCTGTAGTAAATGTGCAACGTATAAAGAAAAAGGAATCAAAGCATCCCACTATAGAAAATCATGAAGTCACAAAGGACGAAAGGGAAAAAAGGAACTACAAAACTGCTGGAAAACAATTCGCCAAATGTCATTAGGACATCTATACCTATCAATAATTTTTTAAATGTAAATGGACTAAATTTTCCAATCAAAAGACATAGAGTAGTTGAATCGATTAAAAAAAAAGACTTGACTACATGCTGCCTATAACAGAGTCATTTCAGCTGTAAGGACACAGACTGAAAGTGAAGGGATATAAAAAGTTATTCTGTGCAAATGCAAACCAAAATAAAGCAGGGGTAGCTATATTTAAATCAGACAAGATAGATGTTAAGCCAAAAAGTGTAACAAGAGACAAAGAAGATCATTATATAATGATAAAGGGATCAGTTCATCAAGAGGATATAACAATTTCTCATACTTACACACCTAACTTTGGAGCACCTCAGTAAATAAAGCAAATATTAATAGATCTGAAGGGAGAAATAGCAATGAAATAATAGTAAGGGACTTCAGTACTCCACTTTCAACAGTGGATAGATTGTCTAGGCAGAACATCAATAAGTAAACATTGGATTTAAATGGCAGTTTAGACCAGATGGAACCGTCATACACATGCAGAACTTCCTATCCAATAGTAGCAGAATACTCATTCTTTACACGTGCACATGGAACATTCTATAGGATATATCATACGTTAAGCCACAAAAAAACTCAATGAATTTAAGAAGTTTGAAGTCGTATCAAGCATCTTCCCAACCACAAGGGGGGAAAAAAGTAAGAATTTTACAGAAAAAACAGCTGTAAGTATAATCTGTATTGCCAGGGAATTGTATTTAGCTAATGTTTTTATATAGTTAAGTTTGTTCATGATATCATTTATATGGAATCTAGAAAACCAAAAACTTCCAACAGAAGAGTAGAAACAGAGTAGAATAGTTGTTACCAGGGGCCAGAATGGTGGGGATGGGGAATAGGGAGCAGGCAAAGGGTACAAACTTTCAGTTATAAAATGAGTAAGGTCTGAGGATCTAATGTATGACATGGTGATTATGGTTGATGATACCAGATTGTATACTCGAAATTTGCTAAAAGAGTAGAAGTTAAGTGTTCTAACCACACACACATGAAATGGTAACTATATGTAATGTGATGGCTATGCTGATTAACTTGAGGGTGGGAATCCTTTTATGATGTGTATGAATATCAAATCATTGTATTGTATACTTTAAATATAGTACAATTTTATTTGTCAATTATAATTCAATAAAGCTGAAAAAATTAATATTTAAAATTGAAAAATCTCCAGTATTTGAGATTAAACTATCTATTTCTCATTTTGGCTTTTATTTTATTTTTAATCCTTACAATTGTGAGGTATTTCATAAAATAGTTGGAAAAATCAAATTTGATTCTCTTTTAATCTGGGAATACATAGTTATCTTCAAGTGAACGTTTAGGGTCTCAATTTTCAAGGTAGTTTTTAAAAAGAAAAGTTGGTTAAATTTGATATAAATTTTTGTATAGACTGTAAATATGGTGTATTCCAAAAATGAAAGGTAATTTACACTTTTTTAAAAAAAAGAAAGAATTCTTTTTTTTTCCCCCTCATAGTAGTGTTGAGATCTTTTAAAAACATTTGTTTTGGGAGGAATTTTTGTGCTCCTTTGGTCGGTGGGTTATTTGTTCTGTTTTAAAATATCCATTTTCCCAGTGACTATTTAGACAGTAAAATTCTGTACAATAAAAAATCTTTCCTAGCCTCTTTATTTCCCTCATTAAATAAGTCTGTCTAATGTAATTGATGAATATAATTTTGAAGTCTAGTGTTTCCAATTTCAAGAAATTTTAATTGAAGAGGCAATGTAAAATGCCTCACGTTGATCAGATGGTCTTATGTAACATATTTTGAACACTCTTAAATTTAAATACTCATTTTGTATGATTTATCCTTATATCTCATAAAATATTGTGAGCACATATTACAATTTCATTTCTTCCTGGTTCTAGAGAATGTATTTTGCATCTGTTGTTTGGAAATAATAAGCAAAAAGAGACCGAATATATGTTCAAGAGTTTGGGAACATAATAATAGGTGAAGTTTAAATATAATGTGTCAGCAGTTTCTATCTCCAGTAGTTTTTAAACTTTATCATATATTTGTGTTCTTATCATGTAAATGTGTACAATGCCGGTGGAGCTATGATGTGATCAGTCCCAAATCTTCTCTTTAGGTTTGATCCACAGCGATTTGATGATGAATCGGTAATGAAAACCTTCTCCTTGCTCGGGTTCTCAGGCACACAGGAGTGCCCAGAGTTGAGGTGAGATGATGGAGAAAGGAAATTGAAAGGAAAGATGCCAGACTTTGTACTTATAATTTTGATGATCACTGTTAATGAGAATGAACAGTCTATATAATTAGAGTATAAGTGTTAATCTTTAGTAACCGGGTGACTTTCTTCCTGACTAGGTTTGCGTATATGGTGGCCACAGTACTTTTGAGTGTACTGGTGAGGAGGCTGCACCTACTCCCTGTGGAGGGACAAGTTGTTGAAACAAAGTATGAACTGGTGACATCATCCAAGGAAGAAGCTTGGATCACTGTCTCAAAGAGATATTGAAGTTTTACACATATAACTTTGTTGAGAAAAATGACCATTTAGAAAATCTGTATTGAATCCTTTTATAAACCAAGTATCGTTGTGTAATATAAATGAGTACTTCATCATGCAAATTTGGATTTTTGTATATCAGATTGTCTTAATGCATGATATGCATTTATACTTATTGCATCAATACAGTGATAATTTTAATGGGAGGCCTTCTACTTTTAATTTTTATTTTATCACATTCTATGCCATTATTTTCATATGCTTAGCCTTAGTTTGATCTCTAAAACTAATATTCTTGAAGAGAAATTATTTAGCACAATAATGTTTTCTGAATATGCCTAAAAGAGAAAAGTAATCCTAACTCCTTTTCATACTTCCAGTAAATCACCTTAAAGAGGAAAAATTTAAGGTTTTCCATAATTTTATTTTTTGGATTCATATTTTTATTTTGTAAGTATAAATTAGTTTATGTTTAATCATTGTTATTAGATTTGAATAATCATAGAATAACCTACCTTGTTATTTGCTATTATTATGCCTTCCCAGACAAACAGTGTTCATTTCATAACTGATACAAGGCTCATCATTTTGAACAGTTCTGAATCATTTGGAAAACAATATAGTTCTTTTTGAATGTGTTCTGAGTGTTCCTCTAAGTAGCAAACTACGATTGAGGTTTGCTTGTCCTTTTTCAGTGGAAATCTTATAAGCACTGTATTATTCCACTAATTCTCATCTGTGGAAAAAACAATTCCTTAATTTGTTTTTTATTATTATGTCATATTCTAAACATAATGAACTTAAAATTAAGAAATGAGAGCTTATTAAATCAAAACCAAAAAAAAAAGATGGGTGAAAATATTTGCAAAATACGTGACAGGGATAATATTGATATTACATATAAAGAGCTCATACAGCTTGGTAAGAAAACATACAGTAGATTAATGGACAAAAGACATGTATAAACAGCTTTCACGGGGGGGAAACAGCTAATGAACTTTAGAAAAATGCTCATTCTCACTAGTAAGCCAAGAAATATTGGGGTTATTTCAAAAATATGTTAAGTATCTTTCAAGATTTACATTTTAGTACTGACAAGTTTTGTATTTAATACTTTTTATTAACAGCATTGTATTTTAGTTCGCTTTTTTTGGTTACACTGTTCTTGAAGAATTCTTTTTTTTAAATACATTTTTTTAAAGATAACACTGAAGGAAACAAGCCAAGTGCTGATAGAAAAGAAAGGAAGAATAATGATAAATGTTTGCAAGTGGGCTTATGTTTGACACTGCTGAATTCTACTTGTAATTTTAGTTTCGAGAATGTTCCCTAGTTATTAACTGAGTTATTTTGTGCTGTGTTTATGGTTATACAGCTGACATTTTAGACCTAGTCATGAGTGGTTAAACATGGAATCTAAGTAATCATATGCAGCCTTTATTTCTGACAAAAATGTTTAATTTATGGAATAATTTAAATTCTAAAACTTAAAGTGAAATGTATTCATAGTTCATAGCATCATGTTGTTTCTAAAAAGGCATGTTGTTAAATTTATTCCTTTCGCCTATTATTTTCTATGCTTTTCTGCATATAGAGCACCTTCCTTTTGTTATCCAAGTACCTTCATTGATTTGGAAACTGGCAGTGGGAGGTTAGAGTAGGCAATTGATGTGTAAACCAAGTGTCAGTAAAATCAGATGAGGTAAGTGGAATTTTAAAGCAAGTGAGACCTGATCAGCAGCAATGATCAGGGCGAAAACAGGGAAGCTGAGCCAGAGAGTCAGGGCATTGGCATATTGCCAATGAATGAGGCACTGTATAATTACTAATAATGATTGGAATCGAAGAAAATAGAGGAGAATAGAATCAGCTAAATAAGCACATTTTACCCAGAGTTAATGACTAACCTAAAACATTAAAAGTAAGTCATCTTCTGGAGAATTTTTAAAAAATAAAAATACTGTTAATCATGTATAAAATAAGTTATCCATTCTGTGTTATTTTCTTTTGCCAAATGACCTACATTTTAGTAGCTTCAGTATCACTGGTGACTTGTACATAGCATGGCTCTTAAGTTTTATAGCTTTCTGGCTTTTTAAAAACTATTTTTTCACTGATTTTGATTTGCATTATTTTTTATAATTTAGAGGTTTATTGTTAAAAAACATCAACATAACACATTTTTTGTGTGTAATGAAAACAGGGCTCTTCCATGTTTTGGGCTCATAAAATTCAAAGCAGAATTAATTCTGTGCGTGTGGGGAAAAACAAAAAACTCATATGCTGGCCAACAAATGTGCAGTTTCATTTTATTATATAAATAGATTCTATCTTATTTGTAGGCCTGATATCAAAATTTATTTATTTGTTTTCTTTATATTAAAAGTTTATATTTTAAACACAAAATGTTTTATTTTTATTAGAATAATTATATAGGTTTATTGTAGGAAAATCTAGGAAATACAGAAGCACAAAAATAGCAAATTCCATCACCTGTACTCCCACTACTTGAACTTAACCAGTGTTAAACTTCTGAGGTAGAGACTCCTACTCTCTTTTCTTATTCCACATATAATTTTTACTGACATTATACATAATATTCTCTTCATTTAATGTATTATGAAGCAGTAGTGTTTTCTACAGCTGGAACATTAGTATTCATCTCACTCAGTGTAAGCACAGACTTTTGTCATTCTTTTTCTCTTCCTCTTTCGCTTCTCAGATACTGTTATTCTTCTCAACTTTAAAAATGGCCTTCCTTCTCCACCCATTCTATCAAAACAGTTATGTATTTGTACACCCAGGTTCCTAAAGTCGTAGCACAATCTAGGTGTTACAGTGAGCATTTAAGAAATGAAATTACTCTTATCGTAATAAAAGTCTTCAATATAATTACGTTCAAATTGGGATGGCATTTCCACTTCTAAAAGGAAATTTTAAGAATCCATGTTGTTTTTGAACTCCGGGGCAAACACATAAAGATTCTTCCCTGAAGACATCTTTATTCTTTTTCCTCCAGATCCACAAAAAGTACTATTAACCTTTATAAAATGTACTTTTTTTCACATGTGGTTATGTTGACAGATTGAAAACCGGTTCAAAAACATACTTCTACTGAATGTGTAAAAGTGAGGACATGACCAGTAGAATTAAGGAGTCGTTTAGTAGCTGTGAGAAAACAGCTGTGAGTGAAATGGACACTTTTCAAGGGCGGGTTTTTATAATGTCAACAAATTGATGCTAGTGACCTTACTATTTTTTATTTTTTTCCTTAGCCAGTCCTATGCCTGTTAGCCTAAGTTCCTAAGACTGATGATTAAGGTAGAAGGGGAGGAGTTGTGGGGAGGGAGGCTATGACAACAAAGAGTTACTGTTACTGCAGAAGTCAGAGGAAATCGCAGGCAAAAAAGGCTCAATACAATGTTGCTTTGAGCATGGTGAGTGACCTGCTCCGATCAAAAAAAGGACTGAGATTGAAACTTGCTGAAAGTAGAACAAGGGACTGGAACAAGCATTTGTTACAAACCAAATACTTTATATACCCATCTCCTTTAGTCCTTAGAACGTAACAGTAGGTACAGGTAGGACTAACTAAAATAGTTTTTAATTCCTGCTAGAAGAAATACTGTGAGTGAAGATAGCAAATACTAGCTAGGAAACAGTAAGTAAAAGATCTAAACCTCAAATTATCTTAATATCTTCAGTGGGGTTTAATGGTATATTTTATTTTTATTTAAGAGAATCAAGCAATAGTTTCAAATGATACACAGTTCATAATAGCTAAAGAAAATGATTAAAAGAGTAATGTAACAATAGTGTTAGAAGAAATCTTAAAAAAGAAAACTAATAAGCTGCCATCAGCAGCCATTTGCATAACTTGATTTTTTTTGTTGTTCCCACTTACATGTATTTTTACCTATTGCAATCACAACAATATGGTCTACCTTTCATTTAAAGAATTTTAAACATTTTTCTTTGTTACTTCATTTTCGTAAGGTCTTCTTTTGGGGGGTTAGACTTTTAAAATATAAGTCAATTTCATGTTTGATTTATAGAACTTTATGATGCTGAGTGAATGGATAATTCTTAAATTTGAACTGGGAGCCATTTTGTAAAATATCCAGGTAATAAACAAAAAGGCAGGAAATGACATTTCTTCTTCTAGTCTGCTTCCCATTTTATCAGTTCATAGTTTGGTGGCTGTCTTTCTACGGATTGGGAATGAATATTGTTACAACACAGATAAAATGCCAGGAGCAATAAGTCACAAATAATCCTGTTTGGTAATTTAAAATTTTTTATTTACATCTAAAATACTGGAAAATTCTTGTTTTAATTTTTAACAAGTGATGGTAGAGAATGAAACTGTGTCACCCCACCAGTATAACTGTATCGTAGATAAAGTTGTAAAGTGCCTGTCTCCAAAAAGACAATCAGTAAACATTTTTTAATAAATGAAAGAAATCTTCATTGAGGTTTTCTGTGCATATAGAATGAAATAAAGGAAATTACTGAAGTTACTTAATAGTTGAAAAAGATTCCCAGAGAACCAAACTATTGCTAATGCCAATAGCACTTTGTGATATGCTAAGTACCCCATTACTGGAAATATTTAAGATGTTGTGTGGACATCTTTCAGTGATGCCTCTATTAGGTGTGAGCATAGGTTTAGAATAGGCTATAGTTCTATAAAACATCAACCAAAATAGTTGGTAAGCAAGTACTCCTTTGTTCCTTCTGTATCTTATCACTAGACCATCATTGAATCAGGGAATGTTTAAGGATCAGCATTTATTAGGTTAGCAAGAATGTTATTTCCTTAAGTGTCTCATGGAACACTATCCTGTGAGACACTCTGAGGAAAAGTTTCCTTGATCATACTCGTTCTGAGGTTCTCTATACATGTTATATACATTCTTTCTTAGATACCTATAATGCATATTAGTACATTAGAAGTACTGAGAAGTTCTACTGTGAGGAAACCTACTTTAACTTGGCTTAACACTGAATGTTCCAAATGTATTTGATGAAGGTGCCCCTTTTTCCAGTTTTTCCTAGTATCTTGAAAAACAGTGTTTCATGGGAATGTAGTGTTCTGTAGAACAGAACCCATTTTGTCCAATATGATCTACAGACAAGTAGGAGGCTCAAGGAACATGTGTTAGCTAGTTCTTTAACCTGTGCATGGTCTAGAAATTCTCTAGGCTAGTGATGACCATATTCTGAGAACCAAACCACCAGAATTTCGTATTCTCTCACTCCCTTGCCTCCACCTCTTTTCCTTGTCAGAGCACAGCGCCCTCTTACCCTACTGACTCTCCTATATGCTTCTCCTGACTTCCATTTCTATCCAAAGAAACAGAGCCCATTTAGTCAGGCAGAAGTGTTTTATTGGTCACTTAATGCATGCCAGATCTTAGGCAGGCACTGGGGATATAGCAGTGAGTGAAACATATGTGATATTTGCTGTGTTCTGTCTCTTCTGTGCTTCACCCCAGGAGAAAGAACCCCAAAGTCTCATGCGTCAAAGATTAACTTTCCAGCACTTCAGCTCGCTGGCTTTGGAAGCAACTCAGGGACACTTTATGTTAGTGGCTGGAAGGGACAAAGGAAAGAACTTGTAGATGACTACATGACAAGGAACAGAAGGCCTCAGTTGCAGCTTGTAGTTACAGGGGGAAGCAGCACAAGGTACCGTTAGTGTCAAACCATTATTTTTGTTATTTTTAGTTTATGATCAAGAGAATTAAACTAGGTACCTTATTAAGAAAAACTGTCAGCATTGATGCTGAATACTGGAGATCATTCAGAGTGAGAAGAAACAAAGCTAAGAGAATTGGTTTGACTAGGTTAAAGAGCAGTTATTTATTTAAAGTCATTTGTATGAATTGTTGTTCAATTAGGTGTGTTCATTTTTCATGATTTGTTGCTTGTGTTGCAAGGTCATTGGCTAAGAGATAATTGATTTTTGGAGCTTAAAAGGACCTTGCAGAGATTATATGTCATAGCCCGCTCACAATTTAAAATGTAGAGGGAGAAGCCTAGGGCCTCTAGGAGTTGAAGAATGTTACTGGGCTTTTCCGTTGGATTTTTCTCGTAGCCTTCTGAAGATGTGTGCTTAAGTCAATGCTGCTATTATATTCGTAGGATTTTATTAAGCTTTCAAGGAGGTGCAGATTCAGAAGGAATTGGAATTTTTTTTTAAATATTCTTGATACAGAGCCTTAGAAGGAGATGCAAATATGTTTTGAATGTTAAATTTACTTAGATTTAAAAATACGTATCTTCAAGCCAAGTTGCCATGACAACATTTCTTAATGTGTGTATAAAATTTATGTCTGTCTCTTTGAGGTTTTCATCTTTCCCAATACAGGGTTTAATCACAAGAATTGGGCACTGTGGTATATTCCAATCTAGATGGTGCTCTATGGGAATTATATAATTTTGGAAAATGCAAATCAAGCATTAGAGCAATTCTGTAGCATGGTGATCCCATCAAGGTTAGTGTCATCTTGTTTTCTCCAGTCTCCGGAGATTGATATGGTTTCAAACCCAAGATGAAATTCTAGATTGAAGTAGAACCATGAGTCTGTACTGAGTATCTATATTTTCATATTTAAAGGATTTGTAGGAGGGCCCTAGTTAAATTTGGGAAATTTTGGCCTAAATCTCTTGGTTAGCTTCCAGACCAATCCAGCTTCCTTGGGATCACCTAAATCTTTTTTGTTTTCTTTTTTTTTTTTTTTTCAATGGAGGCACTAGGGATTGAACCCAGGACCTAAACTAAGCATGCACTCTACCACTGAGGTATTGCCACACTTCCAGATCATCTAAATCTAATCCATAGTTGCTATCATTAGATTGAACCACTTCTCTACAATGGCCAGGCATGTGCACAGAGACACCGGAGAGGCTCCTTCTGGCCTGAACTCCAATTCAGCAATACTAGAGAGATACCGTCATCAGATTTCTTCACTTCCTTTTACCTCACTTCAGATACCTTTGTCTGTGAAGCTCTGTTTTGCATGTCAGGAGCCAGGAAGAGTACTAGGATTTTGGAGACCCAAAGTTTAGGAGGAAGAAATTCTCTTCAATTCTAGAAATATGAATTTATTTAGCAGTGGAATAAGGGGGTAGTCACTGGTACTGTTTAGTAATATTAACTATGACTTTAACTTAAGAAGTCTTAACATGGCTGCCTAAAATTTTGAGATGCTTGCTAAAGAGCAATGTTTCTTTGTATTTTATATTTTAATTTCTCTGTGGTACAGTTTTTTTTAAATTAATGTTTTGTAGTAATTTAAGAGCCCTTGAAGACAATTAACTAAGTTGAGGTTAGAAGTATGATGAGTTAATTTGCTAGTTTTGATTTACTTTAGTCTTAATAGACTTTGTACATATGTTACATTTAAGAGAATCCATGGATATTTTAAAATCTTATTCCCTTCTAAAAGGGGGAAATTAAAGCTGAGAGAGGTAATTTTATATGGGAATTTGCCCAGGCTTGTACAGTTGTTTTTCTTTTAACTTGTTCAGAATGTGATTTCTCTTTGGTTTCATCTTATTCTCTAAAGGGTGAATTCCAAACCAAAGAGAGGCCCCCTAAGCAAAAAGAACTGCCTAAATTAGTATATGATGCTCTTGGTAACTGAGAGAAATGGGATGATAGTCTCAACAACAAACACACAGTTGAAAAGAGATGTCCCACTATGGTGTTTATAAAGGTTTTGGGGTTTATTTTTTTGTAAGAGGCACAGTCAGGGCCAACTACATAATTTGTGGGGCCCAGTGCAAAATGAAAATGTGAGGCCTTGCTGGGGAAGGGGTCAATCTCCCCACCCATGGGTCTGCTCTTTTAATCCATAGTTGATGAGAGTCCCCCAGGGGGTTGAAATCTCCATGCTGGGTCAGTGTTGCCTACCTGGATCAGTGGTAGGTGAGAGAGCCCCACTCAGTCACTTGGAAAACATGGCTGTGGTATGGCCAGCCCAAGGCAGAGATGACTGCTTCCTTGCCCTGCCTCAAGATGTTGCAGAGCAGACTTCTTGTGGGACCCCAGCCCTCCCCACATCTATACCTAGGGCCTCACTGGAGGGTGATCATGGCAGAAAGTGGGCCTCCCTCACCAACTCTCCTGCTAATGCAATCTTAGTGCTGCTCTGGGCAGAAGGCAGCAAGAAGTAATGGGCAGGGATGGGGTGAGGGAGGCTGGGCAGTGTCTAGGGCACCAGGGAGCAGGAGGTCACTGAGAACATGTCTGGGGAGGTAAGGAAGTAAGCTCTAAGCCCCTGGTGCACGCTCCAGGGTCCCACTGGATTTCACTTATGAAACATAAATTCAAAAATAAAATTTTTGAGAATTTCACTGTGGTGCCCTTAAAATGTTAAACCCCAGCATAGGATCCTTCTGAGCAGTGGGCTTCCATGGGACTGTGCTGGTTGCAGCCCATGGAGCTAGCCCTGGACAATCTGACCTTATAGTGCTGTGACTTAGTGATTTTTGAGGGCTGCACTTCCTGGTTTTGTGCTAGTTGTCCTTGCAAATACCCATAAATGTCTTATTTATGATTTATCATCAAGTGATTTAAACCTCTCTGGGATATCTTAAAATTATTTACAAAATAGGCAATAAGTAGATGCCAAACTTAAAAGCAATTTCATAACACATTGTTATTAAAGTTGCAAAAGTAATCTAGTACACATCTTTCTCTCAAACCCCATTTCACTGATGGAACTGTTACTTTCCTGTATTTTAATCATAAACCCCAAAAATTTTCCTGCTGGAAGGTAAAATGGGATTTTTGCCTGAAATATCATCATAAAACCCTATGAAATATTTTAGTGATATGAGTCATTCACTTATTCATATGGTTGGACATTTAGGTAATAGAAATCTGTGAGAAATATATTGTTAATTCCTGTGGAGGAGGAAGGAAGAAATCCTACCAAAGTATTTTAAGTGTAGTTAAATTCAGTGTTCCTTGTCATTTTAAAATATCAAAATTATTCTGTTCTGCTCCTTTCTTTCCAAGAGGCTACATAAAATTACTTTGACAAAATCATGATTCACTTTTTTTGCTGTTAACTTCTTCTACATTCCCTTTTGTGAACACAGCAATCAGCAGTCAGCAGGATCATTATTCTTTATCAACCTTGTGCTACACAAATGAGGCTTCTTACCATGTACCATGGTGTTTAGTTAGCAATTTTGTCAAAGTATAACCTCTTTGTTTGCAATGTTACTGAAACTGACAAGAAATAGAGTATTAGAAAGAAGCAGTTCTACAAATTGTACATGCTGTAGGTCAGTAAATATTCAGCATACAGATTTCAGTGGTATTATACATAATCAGAAAAACTGGTACATATTAAGTTAGCAATTCATGTTATTAAGTGAAAGTCAGTATAGTTTTCAGTAATAAAAATCTTGTTAATACATTTTGAGGCTTGAAGCTCTATAAAATCTTTAACATAATTTAAGACAAAATATGAACAATTTTAGAAATCCAGTTTTTGTGAACTGATTGGTGATATGTCTGCTGTGAGAAGTAATCTGTTTTGTGCTTTAGCTCTGAAATTCACTTTTTGCAGGGTGGTGGGGATGGATATGTAAAGCCAATTTTAGTAGAAACTAAAGAATTGAGGAATTTTTTATTCTCCAAAAAAATGCCTTTCAAGATAAATTACCTATCCCATTGGTTACATCTATACACAGAGATACATTATCATGAAGAATTCCATGTTTATGTTGTCCATTCTCATGGTTTAATGGAAAAAAAATCTCCTCTTTTTATTTTTCACAAGAAAGGGAGCTATTTTATTGTCTCTCACAGGAAACTACTGTAGATTCTAAATATTTAAATACAGTTCTTCTAGGTTGTCTCTTGGGTATATGTTATTTCCTCTCTTTATAAGAGTAATTTCTTCTTGAAAAATGTTTTATTGGGTATTGGGTAGTATGGTTTTGTTAGATGTGCTAACAATATTATGGTTATGTGGCAAAATATCCTTATTTTTTAGAAATATATACTCAAATATTTAGGGGTTAAATGTCATGATTATTGTAATTTTCTTTAAAATTCTTTAGCATAAGAATAATATGAGATGATAAGGTAAAACAGAACCTTTTGTTACATCTAATCAGTGGGTATTTGTGTATTCATTATAGTCTTCTATTTGTAATTTCCATAATAAAGACAAAAATATGACTTTCAATAAAAATGAAAAAAACATGTTTGAGACTTATGGGCTATATGCTACTGACTTTCTGAAAATGGGAGGGGATTTCAGGGTTTTTTTTTACAAACTAATTTTGGATGTGTATTCTTTCCAATCATTTTAAACTTACTTCTTAAAATGTATATTCATGCAGTTATAAAGTATGGAATGCTCGATTGTACAGTAAGTCTCCTTTTTTTAATAGTTTGGTACATTTTTAACCATTAAATAAATATCCTTAAAATTGAGACCAAGGTTTATATCACTAAAACTGAAACCAAAGTTTTGGATGATAAAGCATGCCTAAAAATGTAAAGCTTAGTTTCCAGTCATTTATCTTTTAATCACATATACAAAATTTGTTTCAAAGATTTCATATGTTCAAATTATATGAACTTGATATTAAAATTTCCTGATAGTCTTAAAAATCCAAAAATGTGTATAAATAATGTGAAACTATTAATCACTGATAATTATTTTTCTTGTTGGGATAAGAATGGGAACTAAGTTAACCATGTAATTGTTAGAGTAGAAAACTCTGCATTTCTCCTAATTACTACTGTGTAATATCTCTAATTGGGAACTTAATTGCTTAAAAAAGAATTCACTTAAATTTCATTGAAATATATATATTTATTCATTGAAATGTATATATACATATATATCCAACTTGATGTTGCCTCATAAAATCATATAGAAGACAGAAAACTCATTTTGAGATTCTTAAGATAAAGAAAAAAAAACAGTCCAAAGTATCTTCATGAAGAAGGAAGATATTCTTATTTAATAGTTTTCCAAGCATTTAATGTTAAACCAGGAAAAAGGATAAATATTATAGGAAGTGTCATTGTGTGGAAAGGAACAGCTAGTATTATTCTTTAGGTGCCATAGATATTACTTGTTCTCTAATAAATTTAAAAAATATGTAAGAAAATACAGTAATATTAAATACTAGTTGACACTGAGTGTTAAGGATTTTAAAGGTGATAGGCTGATGTCATTTAAAAGAGAGACCGAAAATTTGGGGGCAAAGAGTTGATGAAAACAATGTTTATGATTAATTACCATGTAGGTCATGTGCAGGAAGAATGCAGGGAAAGTCTGGAGTGAATGTGTCTTCTAGTTGTTGTAAGACAAGTAGTGTAAACAATTCACTTAAGTAACATTTATTTCTTTACAGCCCATACGATCTGGTAATGTATGTACTTTACCATAAATTCCTCATTTAAGGACAGAGTCACTATGATGATAGGCATCAGGAGAATTCCACAGTATCTTTATTTCAGCAGAAGAATGACACTTTCTGCCCAGTCATGTGACTCTGATGATGAAATGCTGGATAAACATGAGTCCTTTAAGGGACACTCACAACTGGCCACGTTTAAGTTATATTGATTGTGGCTCTGACCAACTCAGTAAGGCTTATAGGGCCAAGCCATTAGGCTGTCTCCTTGGCCTTGATTTGTTCAACATTCTTATTAAAGGCATGAACCCAAAAGTCTTGCTTGTCAAATCTGAGATGATGTGGAACAAGATTATTTATTTCAAGAGATGGTAATGAGGGTTTAAATCTGGGACAAAGCCAATGTATAATTAATTGGAAACAAATATAAGGACGTGCAATTAGATTAAAATTAAGTGCATTTGGCATGACTGGGTTAATATGTTAAAAATATCTGCCAGGTTTTAATGCTTACTTTGAATCAAGCTGATGATAAAATTGCTTAAAAATGTCATCTTGGGCTGCATTAATAAAACTATTCTCCTTAATTTTGGGAAACAATAGCCTCACTGGACTCTTAGATTATAGATTCTGTAGTTGTCTTCTTTTTTGCTGAAATTTTCTTGGTAGCAGCATAAGTATGTATCTATGTCCTTTGATCTTAGATTCTGCTGAGTATTAAAAGCTCTTTTCTTGGGAGAGATTCCCAATTAGACCTTCAGAGCCAAAAGGGCAGTTTCATTCGCATCACCTGGAAACTTGTTAGACCTAATTAATTGGGCTGGACCAACTGAATCAGAAATGCTGGGGGTGAGGCCTAGCAAGTCCCATGTTTCGACAAGTCCTCCCTGTCAATTCCAATCCACGCTGAAGTTTGAGAACTGACCTGAATTTAACCCTTTCATTTTTCAGATAAGGACACTAAGATTCAAAGAACTTGTCACAAATTAATTTGAGAAAGTGCGTTAACTAGAATATATTTACACAGTGATTCCTAGGGCAATGAATCATCCCTCTGAGGAGAGTTGTTTATTGGGCTAATTGCTAAGCAGTATTTGAAAGAATGCTACATGGGAACAAGTGTAATGGGGGAAGAGTCTGTTTAGCATTTAACTTACCTCGTGGACTTCTTACAGTTAGTTCAACAGGCTTTGGCTTATTGAAATTTAGTCTGAAAGAAAAGTCATCTAATATGTTTTATTCACTTGAATATTCATGTATGTCTTGATCCTTGAAGCAAGTTTAGCACCATTTAAGTGACAGCTCCATTCCATCACTACCACTCTCTAACCTATGACTCTCTAGAGTGTGACCCTGAAGCCTTCCTTTTGAACAAGCTCTTCACACTTAAATTGAGAACCACTAATACAGAAGATGTTTAAAGTGGTTAAGTGGGCTGGACCAACATTTTCAATATCCTTTGAGTTCCACAGAGAAAACTCAAAACAATTTGCTAATGTGTATATCATAAAGCCAAAATAACAACAACAACAACAAAAGCAATCAGAGGTTGCTCCAGAAGTTTGTAATGGTAAAGTATTAAGGTGATTTTTTTTTTTAAGAAAGTATATAATTAAGGTTCCTCATCATCCGGGAAGAAAAAAGTGGGAGAAAAATCACTGTAGGAGGTCCAAGAGATCACAAATGCAAGACAAACAGTTGTAATAATTGGTCTTGCTCTAAACTGCAAATTTAGTCAATCTTGACTTTCCACAGTACAAATAAAAGTCACGGACTTTATAGTATCTAAGCAGTTGTCAGGAACTTTAGTTTTTTAAGGTAACATTGCGTGGAGTAGTCACATTTAGGAGAAAAGGATACAGTATGAAAAGAGTAAGGAGACAATAACTACATGATTACCTTTAATTTTTGTGGCATTTAACGTTTTCTAAGGTGCTTTCACATAAACTTTTAATCATGTAACAGCCCTGTGAGGAAGGAAAGTACCACCAAAACCGTTTTCGAAACTAAATACTGAATGCACGAAGAAAAAAGTGAAGTTGACAGAACCAGAGAAACGACAAAAAAGGCTGGCAGTGAGGAAGCAAAGCACAGAGGGCAAGTACAGAAAGCTGAAGTCCAGGGGATGGGCAAACAACAGAACAGAGGCTAACGTGATAGGGGAGAGCAGTGTCGACGCGCAAATACGTACAAAACAGCCAGAGTGCAGGAAATTTGGGATTAGGAAACTGAAATTTACTTATCTGTACCAAAAAAGGATGAATGAGGTCAAAGATGAAGAGAAAATGATAAATGAGGCGGCTTTTAAAGCCGCATGGACGTTTAGTAGGCTGGGAACATCCTTCAGGTCCATGACCATGGGGTTGGGCGTCAGGTTGAGGATAACGCCGAGGGGAGTCGCGGAAAGAGCGGGCGGGCAGACTGCAGACCAGGGTAGGCGTTAACGCCGGACTAACAAAGGCCGCCGGGAGCACTTCTCGAGCCCACGGAACTTGCGGGGGCCGAAGGGTTAACCGCGCGCCCGACTCCCGAACGCATCCCGGCCCCCACTCCCGCGGTCGCTAGGAGACGCCGGAAGTGGGGGAGGGGCGGGCGGCGCGACCCAGGGTGGGAATCTTTTTTCGGGCTCTGGGGGCGGAGGGAGGGGAGCGCGCGTGCGCGCGCCGGGCCGGCCGTCGCCGCGGTGACCGTCCTCCGAGTCCGTCGGCTCGCGCCCCGCCTCCGTTCCTGCTGCCCCCTCCCCTATCGCGCGCGGGGGGTGTTTCTCGCTCCTCCCGAGTTGCCGCCGCCGTCGCCGCGGCTCCTCCTCTCCCAGTCTTGGGTTTCCCTGGCGCTGCCGCCGCCGCTGCCTCTGCGGTCTGTATGAGGAGGAGAAGGATGTGAAGATGGCGGAGCTGCAGATGCTGCTGGAGGAGGAAATCCCGGGGGGGCCGCCGGGCCCTTTTCGACAGTTACACGAATCTGGAACGGGTGGCCGATTACTGCGAGAACAACTACATCCAGGTGCGACCATCTCGCGGCCTGGGCGCGTCGGGCCTCTGGTGGTGAGCGGCGCGGTGGGGGGCCCGGGGGCCGCGCTCCTGGGGGCGTAGGGTGGCGCGGGGCCGGAGGCCGGCGGCGGGCGATGGTCGAGCTGAGACCCATGAGGAGGCAGGTTGGGAGGCAGGGGCAGGGGAACGAGTGAGAATTCCCCGGTTGGAGAAAATTGTAGCTTTAAAACATTTTTAAAAAGCCATGAATCAGCCTTCGCTGCGCTGTGTGTGTGTGTGTGGGGGGGTATCTCCGCCTTCCCGCTTCTCCTTCACTTGGCCGCCCCCGCACTCGGTGCCCGTCGATTTTCGGGATGGCGGAGGAGGCAGAGAGCGGCATTTTCTATTTGACAGATTCCTGCTCCCCCATTTGGCAAGAGTGTGGGGGATTGATGGGTCACCCTTCCCCCAAGCTCTGGAGGATTTTTAAGGGGTTATATTGCTGCAAAGTAAAGTGCTTCAGTTTTCTGTTCGTGTGAATGCCTCAAAAGACCGGTTTTTTGGTTTGTTTGTTTGGCTTGTTTTCCGATTCTGGCCAGGGATACAGCATAAGAGTAGTTGTCCCTTGTTGGAAGTTACTGCCATTTTTCTGCCTATGGAGAATAAGAGGCTGCATGATAATGAACTGCCCCCCCACGCCCCCGCCAGTTCCGTTAGAATAGGTAATTTGCCCACGGGAAAAAAATCTGTGACTGTTTTTCAGAGAGAATTAGGGTATGATCCTTATGGTTTAATTTTTCCCGTGATGGTTCATTTGGCACACGGACTGAGTGGTAGTGCTGTGTATGTGTATTTGTGTGTATGAGGCGGGGGATATTGGGTGAGATGAAATCCAGCTGCTCCGGGAACAAGCAAAAGATTCTGGTGGATTAAAAATAAATCCTCTTTAAAATTTTTTTGAAAGGTTAGTTTAAAATGCACAGTTTGCGAGTTCAGCATCTTTTGTTTTCTTTATGGCTTACTCTGAATCACAGGTTCTACATTTTTTCCCTTCCTATTTAAATTCTCTTGTGATAAAGGTGGAAATGGAAGAAGTATGTTAAATTACTTCTTCACCATGGCTTTTTTTCCTGCTCCCATCTCTCCAGGCATCCTTAACATCAGCTGTATTGGGAAGCATTTTCAAGTCTTAGTGTAAAACATACAAACGAAAATAGGTGTTAAAATTTTTAGGTTCATTAATTTTGTGAGGACCGCATGGTTAATCAGGGATGGTACTGTGGGATTTTACTTGACTAGACATACGCTGAACTCTGTTATTTCTTACAGGGAATATTTGTATTGGAGAATGAACCAGACAATCCAAGTCTTTTCCCTCCAAAGAGACAGTTGGAAGTATGGCTAGTAGGAAAAGAATGTGTCTTCAGTCAAAGATTGATACAAAAAATACAACTGTCCGTATTTGTAGGGTGCTTTGCTGATACTGAGTGTGCTGGGAGAGATTCAAAGGTTCAGTTGCTCAGTTTTTCACTAAATATATTTGAAAGTCTTCTATAGCCTGGCGCTAGGACATGGGTTGATGATGCACACCCAGTGTCTACAGAATTTCTTACTGTAATTAGTAGGAGAGGCTGCTTTGTGAGCAGCTGAATACCATATTGTGTGTCAGTTTAAACTCTAATGGGCTGCAGGTGGGAAGAAGGACCAGCGGAAGCTATGCTATTTTCAGGGAACTCACAATCTCTGGAAGAGGTAAATCAAAAGGATTGAAGTAGTAGTTCCATTGTCTTGTGCAACAATTTATGGGAAAGAGTTACAGATCAGAAGAGAAATTGCGAATGAAAAAGTGATTGAGTTGCGGTTATTACCAGTATGTTAAAAAAAAAAACAGATTCGTCTGTCTTTGGAAAATAATTTTTATTGTAATTTAATGGCATCATTCCTCTTAGATTGCAGTTGTTATATAAAAGTGCCTGAGTTAATAAAGCTGAGAGATTAAAGGGATAAGCAGTTGTCAGGTTTTTATATATTTCATACATTTTTTCAGTTCAAAAAAGAATGTTACTGCCATCATCTTGCCTTAATAATGGGACTCAGAATTTAATGTGGTATGTTAAAATTCAAAGTATAAATACTGATTAATAGAAATGGATTTAGATTTTAAAAATCTTATTTCTTCAAATTAGTATCTAAAATTTTACCTCTTAGATTATCATCTGCTTTAGGATCCAGTGGGAATATAATAATTTTCTCCCCAGATGACAACTCTTACGTGATTTGTTTGTACTAAAGTTGATAAATAGAACATGGTGATAGTGGATTTGTGCTGACTCAGCTGCACATTTGGCTGGCTTTTCTTGTGCCCAATGATCTGACAAGCAGGGGTTTTGATACTGCCTGTGACCCATCAATAGATGAAAGTTAATTGGTGGCATCAGTGATCACATGGTCAGTTTAGCCTTATTGAAGCATCATGTCTTAACCACTGGCTCAGGTTAACTCACTCATTTTATTTTGTGGAAATACAGTAGAGCAGAAGACAAATCTGTTGATCATAGATAACAAATGTATGTAAGGTTGCTTGTTCAATATTATTAAATAGCTGGTTTTATGCATGGGAATATAAAAAAATTAAGAATATTCTAAGTGTGAATTTTAAGTGTGAAAACTGAGGAAAGGAAGGAAAATGATTGTGCTGTCCTTCTGAAAACAGTCATACTCTGTTTAAATTGTTCCTATCGTATAAAAATCTCCTTCTGATATATTATCTGTCGGCATCAGGACTGATCAGATTTTGCCTATGTTAACACACACAAAACTTAACAGATAGAGCAGGATTGTAAGTAGTAATTTTCCAGGTTACTAATGCAGTTAACATTAGAAATTTTAAAAATCATCTTTAGTAAAAATTTAGATTATTTTATTTCAACCTCTATTAAAAGAGATAGTCAAAACTTTTTCTACAATGTGATAAAAAGTTATAACTGCAATTTGCTGTTTTCCTGGTTTTTATTTCTTGCCTGTAAAAAGGAACTTAGTAATTGTTAAGGACTTTTTGGAGATACATGTAAAACCTGTTTTTTCCCCCTTCATTTATTAATATAAACGTTGATGCCAAATCTAGAAAGTGTCCAGAATTTTTAAAACATGTTTTGATTAATTTGGAATCTACATATTTACTAATGAAGAATTTAATAATAAAGTGAGTTGCTTTAATGTTTTGGTAGGTGAAATAAGATTATCAATTACTTTCTTAAAGTAAATCTGAAAAATCAACTTATTAACACTTTCCTTTTGTTAGATAAAAAAAGATCACTATGCTGTGTACCAGAAACTAACACAATATTGTAAATCAGCTGAACTTTAACTAAAAAAAAGTTATTACTTTTTGTGAATGTTAGTTCACATAGATACATAATAAGATCTCATTTGTCCATGGTTTGGATTACAAACAAAATAATCCAATAACATGGCTTTGCTCAGAAGAAGAGAAATTAAAAATTTACCTAAATGTTTTATGTGAAATATTTCTTTTTTGAATAATAGAGATGTCATTAGTAGTTTTCCTTTTTTCGCTTTATCAACAAAGATACTCTTAGAATTCATGAAAAATTGCAGGAAAGGGGATATTAGAATCATGGCTTGTAACTAATCAATTTCATAAAAAAGTAGTTACTAAAATATAAATATTTAACATTTTTATAAAAACCATTAGAATACATGCTCTTTGTTGAAAAACTATTAGAAAATATAAATAGGTATTAAGAATTTGCCCAATCTTTTTGAATATATATTTGGTATTTATACTTTGAAGTTTTTTAATAGGCGCAACTAAATGTCAAGTATTTTTAGAAAATGCGTTCATGTTCTATATTACTTTTATACGTTGCTTTAAAAAGAAACTTTTAATGGTGCTAGTCTTTGTTTTTTATGGATGGTCATAGGTAAGACAGAAGGGAGGTTTGTATTTATGTGTTTGACTTCTGTTTGTTCTCACAGATACAGGAATCTTAGTACTTAGAATGAAGAAGCAGAAAGAGGAGGTCATTTAAAACTAGAAATTTGAGGACTAATGTTTGCATCCTTCCCTGTGACTTAGGTTTTTTAACCTCCACAGAGAGGAGTGAACCATGTAGGTAAACATCAGGCTGAATTAGGGAGATTGAATTTCCCTAGATTGAGGTGATTTAACCCATCAGAATTTGACCAAGATTTATCCTCAAAAAACCCCCCAAAAAACCAGAAAAAAAACTAGTCCCATCAGAGATGTTTGGTGATTGGATTTTCATTGATAAACCAGTCATTATGAATATCTTTGACAAGATTGCAAACACAGGCTAAGTTATATTCTAAGTCCTTTACTCTTTTTTAAATGAAACATTTTTAAAATTTTAAATAAAAATTTAATTGCTAAATTTTTAAAAAAATAATTTTGTTGTCTGTGCACTTAATACCCCTTCTTCTCCAAAGCACTTAATTAGTCTCATAATTCCCTTTATTGATCCAAGGACTCCAACTGCACTTATTTTGTCCTACCTTGAAGGGATTCCTAGTGCGAAATTGCTTTTTACCCAAACAATTAATAAACTCTCCTTTCACTTTGTCAACTTACCTTGGTACAATTAATACATAAATGTGTGATAGATTTACTTTGTTCAGGGTCTTCTTCCTCTCCCAGAGAATCGTTTATAACAAAGTGAATTTACTTGTGTGTAAGATAGTAGAGATATTTTTAAGCGTGAGATCTTTGGGTATTACTTTGTCCTTTTAAAATGCAAGAGATTTTAATAGTATTCAGTGGCTGTGTGTATAAATATGATCTGTTGGTGGATAAACAAATACCTTGAAAATTATAGATTATTTATAGACTTGATAGTTTATGGTTGAATTTTTATGGAACTTGTTAATAGATGGGCTTCATGAAGTAGCATGTGGTACAACACCTACTTTGAATCTTTTATTTGCTTGGTGTTCCTTCTCCGGATATAAAGCTTCTGGAGGATAGATTTATAACTTGAAGTTTTTTCTTTTCCCCAATATCCTTGCATTAGCCATAGGGTGTGGTACATATAGTA